AGTATTGAATAGTGCACAACACAGATTCCTACAAAACAGAGTGCTCAGAAAACTACCCCAAGCACTGGTGCATGAGTGGCCTGTCTGTTCTAGGACAAGAATGATGCTTTAAAGCTACATTACCCCAGAAGGTCAGGTCTTTGTCTGAGACAACCCCTAACAGACAGCCTGATGAGATACTATAAATAATAGAAACATATTGGAAATAATAAGACCCAACTGCCTATCTTCATAGCCAGAGTTCTCCGCCCAAATTCTTAAAGAGAGAAGCTCCAAAAACTGTCAAAACTATCTCGAACTACTTCACACTTCAAGCTTCAGCGAGATTGGAGTCTCTGGCAGCCTCTTTCAAGTTTAAATTTAACTTTTGACAGGTAATGATGCCACAACTCAGCAAACTCTGAAAACACAACCCCACAGAGCAAAACACTCTCATGGTTTAGGCCTTGATATGACACCAAAAAGCAGTTTAGTCTAGTAAATCATCTTCTGTCTGATATAGCCTACTCAGTTCTCCCCTGCATATTACTGGTACACTGAGCTTCATCAGACCTTCATAAATGGTAGGCTACTCTTTCACAAATTTATGACATAGCCACGAATGGATAAATGTTCAGTTCTCAAACCCCGCAGTTTAAAATAACAAACACTTAATGTTACATGGCTTATTTATACTGGCAATCGAGAACTCGAGTCCAACCCGAACACATCAACAGTAGAAAATGAAAATGTCTTCAGTGTGGAACACGGCCGTTAAACATATGCATACATAACATGTTGGGGCTGCAGCCTCCTGCTGGGAGCAGGCACGACAAAGCCTCTCTAAAAGGAATACCTCTGGGATCGCTAATGATTAATTAGCTTGTGTCATTAAGTGAAGCAAATGTCACCCAAACTTCCTAGGGAAGCTGTCACACCACGTGCGCTCGCTAAAACTCCCCAAGGGGCTGCGAGCAGACGCGCCGCTGCGGCGAGCGAAGCCTGACATCCAGTGGTCACATGTAGAACTGCAGCGTAATTGACAGGCGTCGTTGTCGATCAAATACCTTGACGTTTAGTTGATATGACGTTTAGTAGATGACCAAAAGAGTAGCTTTAATTCTATCTTCTTTTTCTAACTTCTAAAGTTTAAATTTTGTGAGTCAATGCATCAAACACCTATTTAATCATAGAGTAGGCTATCACTGGATCAATGTCTGAAAACCACACGAGGAGCTTTGGTGTAACTCAGAAAGCTATATATTTCATCTGTACATGACAGGACAGTGGAACAGTGAAGCAAACAGACACTTACCCACAACTTCCTCCAGCTTACATCCAATAAGGCTGAGGCCTGAGGCCTAAACTCCTTTAGCTTTCTGTCACGTTAGGCTCTCGTTCTTGCTCTCACTCCATTTTTTCCTCCTTCTCTGCTCATTCTCTGACCTGTCTGTGTGGCTGAATGGTGACTAGTGCTGCCTGTCTGACTCATTAGAAGAGGTCCAGCCAACTGTGCAAGAGAGGCTTTCTCTTTTCAACCAGATCCTGAGGGGATGGCGGAAGTAGACAGGAGGAGGAGAGACAACAAAAAAATCATTGATGATAAACACGTTACCAGCAGACACAGGACTCCCCTGGAACGTTCTTAATGCTCACACACACTTACTCGTACAATGGCACACCTGTCAGAGCATTTCCACTCAGTAAGCACGAGCAAAGCGCCCAGGCCCTCCCTCTGGTGCGCTCTCTACGTGGTGCTGTGTGTCTTCAGGAAGACTCTATTCAGTCGCCTTGCTTTCTCGGCTACGACCGTGAGATAATAGCGTAATTTCACCTCAATGTGCACAGACATGCGTTCTTACTCGCCTCTGAGGCGCTCCCTCCTTTCTCTCGCTCTCAAGCAGACACTATGACTATTGTCTGAAATGGTGGTGTGTGGATTTATTGTGTGTGTGGGGTGTGTGCCGTGTTTTCTTTGAGGCCAGGGTGGTCGCGCACACCCTCCAGGAGGTAGAGATGGACACGGCAAATGGGGCTTTGATGGACTTCTGAGTGCCAGCACAAAGCTCTCCATAGTCTTTATGTGTAAAGGGGAGAAGGGTGACCTGTGCTAATTCTGCTGATCAACCCTTTGGTGCTCTTCTTCTGGAGCTATCAACTACAACATCATTATCACTGCCTTTTTAAAGTGTATGGAAATAGCTAAATAAATGTGCAGTGGACTGGTTGGTTTTGATGTTATGTAGCCAGAAATTTCATCATTCCTTTCAGGTTGTTCTTCTTTTTCATCTTGTAGGACTCGTGAGTCAGTGTAAATCTTCTGTAACGCCACTCTGTCTCCATCTTTGTGCTCGGTCTGTCGTATGTTTGGGGCCCAGACAGACAGCAAGTCAGACCCCTCCTGCTAGACCGGCCATGTGATGTGTATGTTTCAGGGCCGCCTGTCAGATAGGGAGATTTAATTAAAGTCTACTTTGTTCCTTTATGCCGTCTTTCCTTACAACACCACTCCTCTGAAATTAATTAGACCGGCGGTATTTGCTACCGTCAATGGCAGAATCACCTTCCCCTGAAAGGAGGCTTACATCTAAGAAGACACTTTATTTTTACACACTTGAGGTTTGTTGTTTTTTGTGGTCATTACACTATTCAGACTTGGCTTTCATGCAGCTGTGGCCTTGGCTAAAAAAAATAAAGGCCTTTGTACTGGCTTCATGAATACAAGCAATGGGTCCATGGCAGGTAGCCCTCATAGTAAGTTAATCTCCTGAAAGAGCCCCATACAAGTAGTTTTAATGTCTTCCTTTGGCCCACTGAGGACTGTCATCAATCGAGCACTTCGCTCTTTTGTGCCGGTGGTCCGGTTGCATGAATGGGAAGCACCAGACTGTGACAATGGCTGCCAAGAGTGGCAAAGTAATCACCTTCCAGGGAAAACATAAGTAATCATGTCTAAACTGTTTGAGCATCCATACAAACAGCATTTTGTGATCTAGGAATGTGAATGGGAGCTTTTCTAAAGTGCGAGTGCTTGTAGAGCTTCTGTTTGTTTATATGTGAGGACCAGAATCTTTCTGTCACCACTCGCTCGTGGCCAGAAAGTGGCCATCACATTTAGTTTAGGGTGGTGGTAAACATGCAGTGTATGACAGAGTGGTGAGTTCAAAAAAAAAAAAGAAAAAAGAACCAACTGTACATGTAACCAAAACCTCTTTCCAAATTAATTAAATGTAGTATCACACAAATTGAACTTAATATTTATGATTACTCTAAATATTTTCTTCTCTGTTAAAACAAATAAAAGTGTCTCCAGGAGCTGTCTTCCTAATTTAACTTACAGAACCTATCTGACTTTACAATTGAAAAAGTTATATTTCCTTATTACCATCATTACCAAACAGAGAGGGTTCTGGGTTGAGATGTTTCTGTAATCCAGCCTGATCACCAGAGCCACTAGGTGGCCTCTTCTAGTATAATGCAGTGTAACAAGCAGTCATCAATTATTATTCACAATATGGAATCTTACACAACCCTGCAATGTGTAATCAAATCCTCTTTGCATTATTCAGTAAATAAATCTCACTGCGAATAGCAAAGAGAGGGATTTAGAGGAAATGAGAAATGGGATTTAAATGTATTTCATTACCATATTATGGCTATATCATTTAGATTTACATAAAAGGAATTATGTAAAGGTAAATTGTATCTCAGGGACGTGGAAAGATAGTAATGGCAATGATCCATGCTAGACGATGGAAATAATAGTTGATATTTTCATGAGAGTTGCGTAAATAAGAAGGAACAGGCTATGTTTAATGATGATAATAGACCATCTACGTCCGCAAAAACTTCAGTTGTAATTTGTCTCTTAATACACTAGATGGTGCTAAATACCAACAGCACATTGATATGAGTTTGCTATCAGTAGTAATAGTCGTCTTGATCTAAATGAAACCATTACCAGTACCTCGATCAGAAACTCGTAAAAAAAAAAGGCTAGCTAATAGAGAGGGAATTAAAAGTTGTGTGTAGACTACACTAAAATGCAAAACAGTAATATTTGCGGCCCTTTATGTGTAACAATGTGTAAAACACATTAGGCCTATCTATCTGTGATTTTTGCAATCTGTTTGTTTGGGCTGCCTGACCAAGTGCGACACAACATTGGCTCAACCAACGGTGTGAGTTTGAATAAACAATGGAAGATGAATATAAGTTTGATACTTTGTCAATGAAAACAGTCATTATTTTTGCACATCTAGATTTTTTTTTACAAATGTAATATTCATCCATCTATTATGGACTAAATTTAAAATGCCTAGAATGAGAAAAGAAAATAAAAGAAAAGAAAAGAAAAGACAGGGTCATGGCACACAAGTACCCAATTAGAAGTATATCAATGCATACTATATTCTGTAGTATGTAATAGTATATTTCCCAGTAAGTATATTAAACATAATATGCCTGGCTGTAGTATATACTTTATATTTACTTATAAAATATAATATACACACGTGTGTGTGTGTGTGTGTGTGTGGTCCTGGTAAACCCTACGTTATATCCGAAATCCTTGTCCTTGTGGGGACATTTTTGGTCCCTATTAGGGAAACACACATATATATTGGAATGTATTTATTGATAAAATTTTTGCCTTCAACCACACTCATTGTTGACTGTATACCCACTGGATGTGATCAGCACGATTGTTTATTGTGGTAGGTTTGTGTTTAAGTGCACTCGAGAGCACCAACGGCGTTACAGTGCTAATGAGCAGAACGGTGTGATGCTGATGATATGTAACCGATGATATGTGACACTGCTATATGTGCGCCACCGAATGTTCACAAGCAGGTTACAGAAACCCACGGCGGTTTATTAAAACAATATCTGCCCTGACACCACCAGCGAGCGCTTGATTGATGCTTCTCCGTCTCTGAATGAAGTCCTGCTCACACAGAGCCGAGCAGAGGCGAGAGGACGCGACTGCCATTGATCACACTGAGGAGACTAAAATGGGAGAACATCACTGGAGCGCTGTCAGTGAAGAGACAGTCACAAAGGCGACTGACAACCGACAGCCATTCGAAAAGAGCCGAACAGATGCTTCGTTTTCAATGATCGTCACACGGTAAATGTCTTCCATTCATTGGTAATATTTGCTTGAGATTTGCACCGTAGAGAAACCAGCGCCACTTTTAGCGCGCGGTTAACAATGGAATTATGACAGCGGTGATTTCCAGCTGTTCATTGTTCGCATGAAAGGTAGATGCATATAATTTGGCCCGTGCTTACCAACGGTGACTCCAAAAAAGGTAAGATACGATGCACACAGCTTCTAAACCATTAAAATGGATTAATATGTTGTCTCTGTATACAGATACACTGTTTCACTTAAGTATTTGTTATGCACTGCTTCGGTATAAATGTGCATACTGATTTATACATACATGCAGTAAATAATATACTATGTAGTATGCACTGTGATATAGCAGGCACTAGAACCTTTGTGTATAGGTATATAGAAAATGTCTGTACAGTACATTGATTGCAGCCTGTAGTGAGCACTATGTAGTATCTAAAATGGTTTATTATAGTATGTACTATATAATTACAATATGTATATGTAAAAGTATGTGTACAGTACAAGTTTGAAGTTGAGTACTGCAATGAGTACTGCAAATATTGTTGGCTCTTGTTTTATCAAGTTGTGTAATAGCATTAGCGATGCAACAATATACAAATTCTAGTTGATGCAATATGGCAATATTTGTTTGTTATTGCTTTTAGTTGTATTAATTTCTGAATTTACGACTGGTAACTGATAAATATTATAAATATATAATGATTTCATATTTAATATTACCCGTATTAAAATTACTATTTTAAATCAATAAAAAAATAACAACAAAATTAATTCATTTTAAATGTATACTAAATATTTACAAAAGTTTTTTTTTTTTGTTTTTTTTTAGTAAGTGTAGATAACAACAAAGATCATCTATATGTACAAATAGAGAAAATGAGCTAGCAAAATTAATTAGGCTATCAATTATCAGTCAGTATTGGCAGATTAAAAGATCTCTAATATTGCTCAATTACAGATATGGTACTGATATATATATATATGGTACTGAGGTTATTATATATTTATATATACATCATGCATCCCTAAAAGCCTCTGCTAATGACTAAAAATAAATATGTAAAATGTATGTGTAGGTTGGACACAATAGTTCTTTCAGATGTCTGTTTCACTGTAACTCAAATATCATTACATTCATTCATCTAAGAGGGATCAGGATGTGCTGAACATTTCTTCTTGTGTTACATCCTCTTTCAAGGTGTGAAGAGTGACAATACAGTTGTCAGACCTTCAGGCTGGTGTTGGTGATATCCGAAAGGCTCCTAATGCGTTATCTCCCACCTTGTCTCTGTCACCATGCCTACCTTTCCACCTCTGGGCAGTAACTCCAGCACAGTGCCCTGGGACCCCGGCGCACCTTCTCTGGTGAACAGCATAGTGAAGATGGTGCTCATATCGGCGATCGTGTGCACGTCGCTTTTTGGAAACATTGTGGTGCTGCTGGTATTCCAGCGCAAACCGCAACTTCTCCACGTTGCCAACCGTTTCGTGCTTAACCTGCTCCTGGCCGACCTACTGCAGACGGTGCTGGTCATGCCCTTCGCCATCGCCGCCACCGTGCCTGAGGTCTGGCCGCTGGACGCCCGACTCTGCCAAGCCCTTGTGGTGCTCATGCACCTGTTTGCATTCGCTGGCGTCAACACCATCATTGTGGTATCCGTAGATCGCTATTTGGCCATCATCCACCCGCTGTCCTACCCCACACGAATGACACCTCACCTGGGTACCAACCTGATCGCTCTCACATGGCTTCTTAGTGTACTTCAGAGCACTCCGCCGCTTTATGGATGGGGAACCATCGAATTTGACCGGCGCCACAAAGCCTGCACTGTTGTGTGGTCCTCAAGCTACTCGTATTCAGCCCTGGTGTCTGCACTTTCGTTCTGGCTGCCTGTGGTGATCATGCTTTGCTGTTATTGGATGGTATTCAGGGCGGCGAGGCGGCAGAACGCCCTCGTTCACCCCATCCAATCCAACCCCCCTCCAGATTCCCAAGCATCCTGTTCCAGCCCCCAAAGGCATTCCCAAGCGGAAGGCCCCTTTTCAGCCTCTTATCCCATCAGAACCCGCCATAGACGCTTCCATTACCACTGTAAGGCGGCGCGGGTGGTGTTCGTCATCATGGCGTCCTACGTGTTCAGCATGGGCCCGTACAGCGTACTAAGCACGATATCTATTTACTCTAGTGCAGCGGTGCCGCCCTGGTTGGCCTCGATGGCGCTCATTCTCTTCTTCCTGCAGTGCTGCTTACACCCCTACATCTATGGCTACATGCACCGCAGCGTACGCAAGGAGTTCCTGGCGCTGCTCTGCGGGCCGCTGTGTGGGCAGGGCCAGATCAGTCAGGGCTCCGCCGTGGACAGTTGCTTCACGGTGACGGATGGACGCATGGCACACACCCATCGCTCAAGCCAGGCTGCCCGAGTGTGTCCTCTCCGAACCTGGGAGGAAGGCACCACATCTTCTTCCCCTACAGAGAGGAGGTCCAAAATATAATGTAAATATAATTTATATTTACAATATAAAGCTACTAGGCTATATATATATATATACACATACATATATAAAAAAAGCTTAGAATTAGACATTTTTTGTAATGATGTACTTTGTGATTTATTTTTTTTCATTATAACATTGTGAAGAATGTTTCTGTATACCTCATCATAAGACCTGAAGCTCAGTACATTCTGTGGGTTTTAAATTAAAATGATTGGGAAAAGATGTGCAAGCATGTAGTTTTCTTAACGTAATTATATTTAAATAATTTACAAAGTATAAAAATCACTAAATATCTCCCATTATTTAGATATTATTACTTGTATAAAAGAGCCCTGTAGCAAAAACAATGTGCTTCTTAACCATTCAATTTCCTGCACTCAATAAAAACAATTTATCACCAAGACAAAACTATAAAAACATAACAAAACAAAGTAGTTTTATGATACTAGCAACAAAGTAAAAAATATTACTGATATTCAACAATAGGTGACATTATAGAGGTTACTGTGGTGTGGTTTTGCATGCTTTAAGGTGCAGTCACATTAGCGAAATTTAGGTGAAATTTCATGGGCAAAAAAGTTCCTTCGTATATTGTCAATAACGTGATGCATAAAGCAGAGCTCACACAGAAGTCACTTTAAAACAAAGCAGCTTGTCTTGAACCCGTAGCAAAATCTTTCACCCTCGCGTGAAATTCCTGATCGCGTTAATTCCTATCTAAACGACTGCGAAAAATTCCTTACAGGTGCAAAATCAACTAGGCTAAATTTCACGGGCAAAAAAAAAAAACTTCCAAAAACTTCCAAACCAATTTTCTGTTCTCAACATGTCATCTTCACGTGACCAACTTGACACGACAAAATCTGTGTGGGGGGAAATGTTTTAGCCCTCTGTTAGCCCTCAAGCGAAACTCCCAAACACGTGGATTCCAATCAAAAATGACTGTATTTTGCTGTGAAATTCCACCAAATAATGGTGCGTTACATTAGTGAAACTTATTATGTAGTGATGCTACACCTCTTACTCAGAGGTCACTTCCAAACTAAGCAGCTTTATATTGATCAGTGTGACAAATCTGTGTGCTCAAAATGAACAAACTTGAATCCCATGAGAAATCTGCATGTGGTATAATAAAAAGCATAATAAGACAATTTATACATAAGATATGGGCTTCTGCTCTCAGCGCGGTAGGTTTAGCTGGAATGAAGTCATAGGCAACGCGAGACAAGTAAAGCACTAAAAAAGGGTCTTTGGAGTTCACACACACACACACACCTACTGCAGGTCAGTGAATTACAGTTGAGCCAAACACACCATCCGTTCTTTTAACCTTCATTTAAATGTCTATTCAGACTTTCACATGAAAGCTGATCTGTAAAAAGATGATGTTGTGTTCTCCAAATGTCCCTCCCTTAGTCCACCTTCAGCACGCTGTAGATTTTATTTACAAACCAGAAGCAGGAGAAGAAGCCCATAGTACCTGCACAGAAGGAGACATGTTTGAGAATTAATGTGAGAAATAAAATGAAGAGCACCGGCCAACATAAAAGATGTCACAAAATGTGCCAGACTAACTAATAGTGTGCACATTATGAAACAGTGCTTCTATTAAAACCACATTTAGAGTCATTTGGGTGGCATTTTATAAGATAACCATCTATTAATAGTGCAGTTTCAATGCAGCAAATTATCTGACAGAGCCAAACTGAGCTGAGTGTAATGAAGCACAGGATTAAATCTAATCATCTCTGGGGCGGCAGTGACAGCCAACCAACAATAGGTCTGATTGAAATCTTTAGCTCGGAATCTATTTTCAGATGCGTTTATATACACACGATTCTCAGTCCTCCCCCTCACCTTCCACACACGCTCTCGCTGTATCTTCACTTGGCTCTCGGGATCTAAAAAGTCATGCTAGTTTGGACAAAAACAAGCCATTTCTGGGAACCGTTACTTTAAGGTGTGGGACTGAGAGGGTAATGGAGATCCAGTAAGCTTCGTTTCAATCGTGCCTTACATTTTCACCCCTCGAGTGTGCATGGAAGTTGCCATAACAGCCGTAGCCAGGGATGCTAAAGCATCTAGTAGAATCCATGGCAACAAATAGATTGTGGCTAATATCTACTCAGAAAAACGATGACGGCAGTTTCCCATCATTCAAAGCAAAGCCTTAAGAACTGCAGCAATTACACTGGTAATCTGGAGGGTTTTTGTAAAGGTTCAACATGAAATGTCGCTGAGGAGCTTGGGCTATTTTACCCAATCGCAGTTGTACAGCTGTAAAATCGCTTTACTTCATGCTGGGTGAGGAAAACACTTGCTGCAAAGCTAAAAAAGACATTTACATGCCATTTGTAGAGAAACAGGTAAGCATGTGTAGATGTAGGAGGTCCAAAGACAGCCGTAAGGAAACCACCTCCATCAGTCTGAGCTCAGAGAAGGAGCTCACTGTACACAGCAACACCAACAAACAACCTGAGGAAACACCTACAGGCAAATTCTGAACATATCTGGGGTATATACATCTCTTTTGGTTTCCATTTAGGGCACAATTTGGTACTTTTGAATCAAATACTGTGCCTTTAAACACAAGCTCACTGAATACACTGTAACCACAATCTGAGACAAAAAGGTACAAAAACTGTCACTGGGACAGTATCCTTTTAAAAGGTACTAATATGTGCCATTTATTTACTAATATGTACACTTTAGGTGGTAATATGTATCAAGATACTAATATGTACCCTTTAGGGGAAAAAATGGTCCAAAATGTCCCTTCTTAAAAGGTACCGCCCCAGTGGCAGCTTCTGTACCTTTTTATCTGAGAATGGATATTTGTTCTGCTATATGTAACCATATGTGTTCCTAGCTATGCTATGGACCTATATGGTTAGTATTTACAAAAATAACATTGACAACAACAACAGAAAAGCCTAGCAAACATATTTTCTTGGCTGGATAATAGACTGTTTAAATGATCTTTTAGTCAAGAGTTAGATTTATTTATTTTTATTTTATATTCAATATATTTTTTCTAGAAATTAATACTTGTATTCAGCAAGGATGCATTCAATTGCATTAAAATGCATTGAAATCATGATGTTCACAAAAAATATTAAGCAGCGTAATTGCTTTCAATATTGATATTAAGAAGTGTTTCTTGAGCATCAAATCAGCATATGAATAATTTCTGAAGGATCACGTGACACTGCAGACTGGAGTAATGGCTGCTTGAAATTCAGCTTTGCCATCACAGAATAAATATAATTTTAAAATAGAAAAGAGGTATTTAAATTATAATACTTCATAATATTACTGTTGCTGTATTGTTAATCAAATAAATGCAGCCACGATGAGCATAAGAGACTTGAAAAACAATTAAATAATTTTTTATCAACCTTAAACCTTTCAATGGTAGTGTTTACTCTGTGAATGGGAAAGTGGTTGAAAATATACCATCAGTTGCAGTATTTGTCATGGTTATTTAAACAGACTAGAAATAAGGTCTGAATAATCATTTAATACACAAGGCTTTGACATCTAATATCTTTTTATGTGTGGTTTAAAATATAAAATATTGGAGACATAGTATAAAGTGCTCCATCAAATATTACAGAATATTGATTTTCTTTTAGTGTTTTAATATCATACAATATTAGGGAGTAAAATGTTGGTACAAATATTTTTTGAGATGGCATATAGTAGTGTATAATATGTCTAACAAAATGAATGTTCTTTGTATACATCCATGTCAAATGTATTGCTACTTTACAATTTAAAGACAAAGTATTCCTTATGTCGTTTTAAAATGAATTTACATGTGGAAAGATTTTGGTCTATTTTTCTAAGCATACATGTCAACTTTGTTATACAACTGAATCATTGTCACTGGAATCAAAGTTCTCTTACTGAAACAATGTAAATGTAAGAGTAATTTCAAGCAAAAGGAAGCTAAATTGAAAAACAAAACATTCTATTTATTTATTGTTCATGCACCAATAATACTTAAGCGATGAATCACATCAGCATTAGGGTATGGGTCACTGTATTTCTGTTTGTGTTTAAAAGATGTGTAATGTGGAGGGGTTTCAGTGTTTTGAAGAGGGTGAGTCACATGAAAACTGTCAAGATCATGTCTGATTATATTTCACCCCAAAATGAGAGAGAGAGAAAAAAAATTAAGCCTTCTTTTCAGACCATTATTTTTTTGCATCCCACCCATCCAACCATTTCTTATTACCTTATTGTAAAAAAAAAAAAAGAAAGAAAGAAAAAAAAAAGTAAATATTAATTCAATTTTAAGTATTTATATTTCATGGTAGTATTTGTTGAACTGCCATTTTATTTTTTTATTTATAGATTTATTTATTGCTGGGTTTATTTTTTTATTTTTGTGCATGTGAGAAATGTGACCTGGACATGCTTTCGTGAGATTCACCCAAGAGCAGCTAATGAGCTCAGGATCTCAGGGTATTTATGATGTACCTCTTGACCGGTGTGAAGAGTCCGCTCTCTTTAAGAGTGCCTCCCTAGATAAATTGTACATCATCTCTGTGTCATATGAGACGTTCAATCCCCTCACACTGCCAAACTGACATGATTAAACAAGCAGGCTTCGAAACTGCTGAAGCACTTTATGCTATGGAGTTCAACCACTGCATTAAGGCAGGAATGTTAACCGATCTTGAGCACTTAGCTTGACCCTGTACAAAATAGGACTGCTAGTGCTTCAATATTAATTTCTGGCTGGGGTGTTTAGAAGTCAGCTGAATCAATCATGAGTCAAACCCGCAATTTCCTCTGCTACATCAAGTATTATATTGAAACGAGTGCAGCAATACATATCACAGATATTATCAACTGTATACCAGTTTCCAGCAATGTCTGCAGCACTTACAAAACTGTAGACAGTCACTTTCAAAACAAAACAGCAGAGTCATAAGCATGTGTAGATGTTATCAACCAACAGCTGTTTACGGCTGGCAGACAGCTGGCCATCTCTCGCCACCTCCGCCTCAGCATATCAATGAGGGGAAGTGACAGAGATTTGATTAAGGCCGGAGGGAGCGCCGCTGTCTTTCAACAACAACAACAATAAAAGATGAGGAATATTTATAGATGTCCCAATTACCCTCAGCCTAAACACAGCATGACCCATTGGGCAGGAACAAACCAACCAGAACTGGTCACCTGCCAAACGAAAGGACCAGAAGGGAGACACTGCAGCACCAAATCCATGAGGAAATCTGAACATTTGATATTGTAGGCGAAGTAAAATAAGGCAAACATTTTGCATGTTAACACTAACCACAGTAAGCATTGACTTTCAGGAACAGGATACAAATTGCATCAGCTGTGCAGTAATTACAACTTAGCCACTATTAAATATGTTTGCATTTCACCGTTTAACTTAGTTGCAATGTAATTCTATGCTTAAACTAAATATTTACAGAAGCCTGTGACCAGGAGTAACAGTTGTAAAAAAAAAATTGATTGCATTGCATAAGATCTTATTTTACCTGTCAGTCTTCAATCCTTTAGGAATATATGATAATGTTGACATTTACACTCATTTACATTTTATGAAAGAGAAAACATTATTTGTGCATCTGTCCGTGGTGTGTAAGTTTTAATGTTTTTTTTGTATCAGTATTTATTCATCCTTATTCATTTTAAATGCAGTTTCTGAATGTTATTTACATAAGAATACCTATTAAGTTACTGACCGTTAAGGAGTATCATATTTCAAAGGAAACATAGTTTTGTGAGGCAAAAGAAATTTAGAAGAATTTAGAATCTCGTATTTCAAGGCTGCAATTGGATCATTGAGGGTTAACGTCATATTATGCCACTCCACATTACTTTATAGAGAGCTTATTTGCTACATGGATTATTTTAACGATCTCTTTACTAAGTTTCTGAGCCTTGATCGTGTAAGGATCCTTGCTGTCACTCTCGGAATGCATCAAAAATATCTTAATTTGTGTTCCGAAGATGAACGAAGGTCTTACAGGTTTGGAATGACATGAGGGTGAGTAATTAATGACAGAATTTTCATTTTTGGGTGAACTATCCCTTTAAGAACAAATGGTGCAATCAAATAAAGAACTAGTTTGTAAGTTAACTATGTTAACAGTTACTAAGCTTTTAGTGTGGATTTCATGTTCCAATTTAAGTAACAACTTCCGAACGGCTGATGCAAACCCTACCCTGTAGAGCAAACATGATGAATGGTACACACTTAGTTCTGTAATCTCAACGATTAGCCTACACATTGTTCTCGTGCTGCAGTGTTACTATTACTCTAAACCAGTTAAGGGTTAAACTGGTCATTTGATTGAGGAGGAGTATTCAGTGAAGGGTCATTCAGTGTAGGACTCATAAGACTGATTAAGTTTGAGTCATTAGCATGTGGAACAGACTACATGTGTTGTATGCTTGTTTTTCATTACAGCCAGTGAAGACAACACAACAGAAAGACTGCAACTGAATAGAAAGACTGAATTCAAATTCAGACTGCAAGCTAAAACTAAAAGTATTATTTATTTTGCCATTTGCTGTAGATTCGCTCTGTCTTTCAAAAACAGCGCAGGAAGCACTGTATAGCTCTATTAATCTGTGATAAAAGAATAAATTGTAACTTCAACCTGGTTTTCTCAAGTAGGTCATGACACAAATCTATTCTCTAGTTTAGGGTTTCACAAACTGGAGGCTGCAAATAAAATCCTAAAAATGTAAAAATATATTGTGTGTATATATATATATATACATATATATATATATATATGTATATATATATATATATATATATATATATATATATATATATATATATATATCATATACAATATATACTAATAGTACTATAGACAATAATAATAGTAACAACAATAATAATATTTAAAATAAAATAAAAACCATATCTAAATTATACTATTATAATTATGCTACTGTAAATTACATTATAATTGTAATTATACTACTAAAAAAGATTAAATATTCTATTTATTTACTTGCATGTCATGTGACCATTAACCAACTTCAGAGAACAAATGTTAAACGACTGAAATGTTAATATTACATTTCAGGGGGTAATTCAAGTAAATATTTTCATCAAAGGTATCTGGTTGACAAAAACGTTTGGGAATCCCTACTCCAATCACAAAGTGTATATGTATGAAAATATTTTTTAAAGCTAAAGCAAATCATGCCATCTTCCACCTACCTGTAAAAATGAAGAAAATGAGCACCATGATCAAGGTGTAGCCAAAGTAGAGGATGGTGCTCGCAGCCCCTATAATTTGTAGTTTTGAGAAGAAGTAATGCACTGCGTAGACAAACAGATACACTGCCGTGAAACCGCTGGTCAGGAATGATCGCCACCACCAGTGATAATCCTGTCAAACACAAATAAGAAGGCTTTAAATAAAAGTCAAAAACACCAGCAATTATTAAAATAAATAGTAATAGCACTTTTGACAAATGTTTAAAATGATGTAGACTCATATGAACTAAAGACTCATTCAAATCAGTGGCCTAGGCAAAAAAACTCCGCTAGCCCACACCACTAGATGTCAGTAAAAAGTCCTTGACTGTCATATTAGTTGTTTTTGAACAACCAGCAAACACAAAAAATGAAAATTAGTTGTTTAAAAGATGTTAAATCTCACCTCTGCACATAAATGGAAGTAGCAGAGCAGAACAGTTGCCTCAGAGCAGGTAATGACCAAGATGATGAAGACCAGGAAAAGGAAGCCAAACATGTAATACATCTGATGAGACCTGCAGAGAAACATTTGCATGCACCGTTAGGACCAAAATATCAATCCTCAAATCAACTCATTTCAGCATGATATGATTTCAAATCATACCAAATGCTGTTAAGGATGAAGAAGAGCTGGATAAAGATGCAGCCAAAGGGCAGGATGCCGCCCATGATGATGCCCGGCACGGGTTTGGTGAAGAAGGACTGCTGAGGAATTTGGCGTGGGATCTGGTTTGTTTGCACTGGTGGCTCGATGCCCTGTTAAAACGGGAAAACAAAAACACACCCACATTCATGATAGCATGACAGCGTGCCAAAAGAAAAGCTGGGAACAGATGGGAAACCCAATAACAGCTGATTCAAAGAGATACTTAGAAATACAAAAATAGGAATGCGAAAGAGTATCAAAATCTGGGAGCTAATTATTAAATGTCATTTCTCAAGTGTGGAATGAGCACCTGTCAGAATGCCAGGAATTAAAAATGTGCTTAAGAAGTTGGTCTGTTAAAGAAGGCATACTCACTGGTTTTTTGAAACCGAAGTATGCACCCACAAAAGTGAGAGGAACAGAGATTCCAAACCACAGTGCCAGGATGGCCACCAGTGTACCAAAGGGAACAGCAGCGGAGGAGCCCTCTACCCACAGGATCAGATTCATCAAGAAGAAATCCACAAACACAATCCTGCAAAAACATAGCATACTGAAACTGCATACTGGCATACATCATTTTGTTCCTGTTGTCAGCAAATCTATTACTGTTTGCAATAAAGACAGTATTCAACTTACCCAGGACACAAAAAGGCGGTGAGAAGAACATTGGTTTTCCAGTTTTCACCACCGAAAGCTGATGAAACCAAGGGAAATTAAGGGAAGCAATCAATATTAAAACTGCCAACTTTTTTTTTTCAAAACTGTACATCTGTAAATAACATCTGCACATTCACAATTCTATATATTGTGAATTTTCTATATTTTTAATCACTGTATTGATTTGTATTATGTTTACATTTTATTTCCCATTTTTATTATTGTGTTATATTCTATTTTATTGCCTTTATCCTCAAGTATGTCTGTATTTTTTCTGCACTGGAGGGTCCTTTCAGCAAGATATATATATTCCTTGTTTGTATAAGCTTCCTTGGCAATAAAGCTCATTCTGATTAATCTTTAACATATTTAAGGTGGACTACATTAAAATGCAGGAAATGAACAGAGGAAAAAATGAATAGCTCTTCAAATGAAAAATTACAATGCTTTCATAACGATTCCAGAAGAAAATAAGGTAAAATAAGTGTTCCATATTGCAATATTTCCTTACTCTTATAGAGTCTGGCAGACACGTATCCAGCAGATGTGCCAAGCAGAACCCACAACACCACTGCACAGGTCATGAGAGCCCCTCTGTTGGCTGGAGACAGGAAGCCCAGGCAGGCCAAGACTAAAGAGAAAAGCAGGATTGTCACTTTTTCATTTAATGCTATTGGTAACACTTTAGTATAGGGACCAATTCTCACGATTAACTAGTTGCTTATTAGCATGCCTATTATTAACATATTGGCTGTTTATTAGTACTTATAAAGCACATTATTCTGCATGACCATATTCTACTTCCCTAATCCTACCCAATACCTAAACTTAACTTCCTTACTAACTATTAATAAACAGCAAATTAGGAGTTTACTGAGGCAAAAGCCATAGTTAATGGTTTGTTAATGGTGAGAACTGGACCTTAAAATAAAGTGTGACCATGCTAGGATGACAGTAATAAGAAATAACAAATGACCAAACTGTGTACAACCATTTTTAATTGATCACAACATATATTACGCATAAAAAAAACTATTAAAAATAAAGGATTAGTGGAGAAAAGTTCACATTTCTGGAATGCACTCAAATATTAAAGTGTTCTCAAAATACTAGAGAATTAATCCTTTATGTTTAATTTGTACAATACAAAATCTGCAGTGCATTTAATTCATTTCTGCTCCAATGCACTTACAAAGGGTGATGAAGGTCATGATGAAGACCTGAGTGCCCTGTCCGAGGAAGACGGACAGAAGCATGCCCATCCTGGGCGGCCTGAACACGTCACCGTGTACCTGCTTCCAGCCAGACTCCTCCTGGGCTTCCTCCTGCAGGAGATATAACAGTAAATCTCAATATGACTTCACATGAACGACATCCGGTAAATCATTATGGACAGTCGTCAAACTCAATTATTGAAATTGTGAAGGAAAAGCAGATGGTATGTGCCACACATGCTTTATCAGTGACATTATCTATTCATTGCAAAATAGCTCCCTTCATTTCTTTACCTTGATTGGTGAGCATGGTATTGTATATTTACACTTGTTTTACCAAGTTCCCGAAGCCACACAATCCTCATATCATAATCACCAGTGACAACATAAGCTAATAAGCTTACATAGGTAACGTTTGCAGCTGGAGGGATCTTAACCCAGTCTGCCTGTGAATGTCACAACAGAGGATTCAGTGACTGGAGGTATTCTTACGGTTATTAAAATTTGAAAAATAAGATCACACTGAAACTAAGAGAAAAGCTATCGGTCTGTCTGTGCTTGAGCATTAGGATTTACATAACCCAAGAAACAAACATAATATATAACTGGAAATTTGCTCTAACAGTTTGTGCGTATTTGGGAGCGTCAGCTCTGTTGACACAAGATACTCTGGTGACATTACAGACTCATTAATTTCTTCTGTTATCTAGGTAAAAATTGGAATGAGAACAAAGTAAATTCAAGGTACCTGGTCCATCTGGTTGTACCGGGCAATATCCTTGTGCAGTGTTCTAAGCATGATCATGGCCACCATGCCAGACAGGAAGAGCACAATGACTAAAGAGTTCATGATGCTGAAAAAATAAAATGAAGATGGGCCATTAATATATGTATGGAGATATGGTATGATGATATTTACAACCAGCTTGTGCTCACCTGAACCACTGAATGTTAGTGTGAGGCATGGAAACCAAAATGTAATCCCATCGAGAAGCCCACCTAATATCATCATTTTGCTAGAAAAGGGGAAAAAAAACTCTATTACACATAGTTCTTTCCAACCATCTCATTGTACTGACTCTATAAACAAACGTACCTTAAATGTAACTGAATAAGTGTAGGTGACTTTGAGATTACTCTTGAAATCTGCTGGTATGTCCATGGGAGTTTCTTCACATGTTGGATTTTCGTCATTACTATGCTTTATGCTGTCCAACAGTCAACACATATGCATTACTCTTATGTAACAAACTATACTACAGACGAGATAACTCTAATGTTCTACTCTGTGTGCATTACAGTAAATATTTACTCTGTTTTCTTATTAAAGTGTGCTTGCAAACAGGTGTCACTATGCCTAACTTTCAATTCTAGTTAAATATGAAATCTGAAACTGATCATATAGGCCCACAGAATGTGGAGTAAGAGCTAAAATGAGGTCTTAAATACACCATTTCAAGTCAAGTTAGTAACAGACAGTTAGTTGCAATATCAGACCTCCGAGGTTCCAGTGTTGCCGCCACAAGTCGAGCATGCATCCCATTCGTTTCATCTCCACTGTGGTAATGTATGGTGATGTCCACATGGTTGAAAACATAATAAGTGTTCTTCTTGTTGAAATCAGCCTAAAAGAGTGGATAAAATCATGTCAGAAGCTAGTCAGAATCAAAAAAAATCAAAAAGGCATCTTTCTACCTTATTTTATTTTGAAAAAAAAAAAAAAAAAGCTGAAATGTTATTAATCAGCAACACATTGTGTCAATGTTCTGTTCTTGGTAATGTATTTTATATTATATTATCCTGTAAAGATTTAACCAATAATGTTTTTAAACATGTTAATGAATGAATAAACATATATAGTTTTATTTGTATTTTATGTATAATGTATTTTATATTATTATATTATGCTGTAAAAATTTTACCAATAATGTTTTTGAACATGTGAATGAACGAATGAACATATAAAGTTTTATTTAATGGACACTTTCCACGGATGACTTGTTTCCACAGATATTAACATTGCAAACGTAGCCAAGTTTGTTAGCAAATCAATTCTAATACAACGGCTGATGGATTTATGGCCAATTTGACATCTTTCTCTCTTCCAACTAACAATCACTCTCTGTGTTTTTCCTCTTTGGTTAACTCATAAAAATTATATCATGAATGTTTTCTTTTGCTATTGGAGCAAAAAGGCGCAAAGGTTTTGCCCATTATTATGACTTCCTCTTCTGTGAAATATGAAAAGAGTCCATTATATTTGAACACCAGTCAGTAATAAACCAATATAGGATTCAATAACCAAAACAGTTAGGTAATTTTTAGTCCATTCCACAAATACTATGTGTATGTATTATATGTTTAAGACATAATATCTAACACAAACTTAACCATGCTTGAGAAATAGGTATTTTAAAGACATTTTTGTATCACCATCCCCAAAACAGGGATTACAGCCTATTCCAACAATCAAATTAAATAAAAAATGTCATAATCTTAACATAATTTACAGAATTGATATTCAATTCATTGCATTTATCCCAACTTTTTATTCTATGACATTTATTCCATCACAGACAGCCAGCTCACAACTAAAGTAGCATAAAAAGCTGTCTCTCTCACATTTATCACACAGGCATCCTTTGGCTTTCCTTCTTGGTTCACTAGACATCCAATGGGAAATCCTGGGTTGCAGACTTTCTGATTGTCCTCCACAATGTAACACCATGTCACTGGCATGTTGTCAACAATCCTGCAAAACAAGTTTAAGGATAAACCAAACCCACTTATCTTTTATGGCCAACCATTAGAGATTGCGTAAAGAATTACATGCCCAACCCTCCGTTGACAAACTGATATTGTGTCAAGATGACAACTTTTATTTTGTTATTGCTACCACCACACCTACCGTAGGCATCACATCTAGACTTACCAGTGGTGCTGGTAATTCAGCTCCATTCCTTTCTTTAGAAAGTCCAACTTTAACTTGTCTTCTCTTGAACCTGTATCATACGATTTGGTGCAGACCTTCACACAAGCCTTGTCAGCCTTAAATGAAAACTAAGGAGAATTTTGAAAATCAGTATATGAAGGATCTATCCATTATGTGAGAAGCACTGGAGTTCATTTGAACACATTAATACAGAATAGTAACAACTAGGAATACACTGCCTAAATAACATCAACTTTATCATACGACAATATATGATTATATATGGCATTATAAAAAACAAAACACACAAAAGGAAGAAGTGTCTGTGTCTGTCAGTTGCAACTACAACTAGTACAACTTGACAAACGAGATGCCAGCTCTCAATGAACAAGGTGTGTAATCTTCTAAATGTCACTGCCACAATGATATTAAATTACAATGATAAAAAAAAAACGTAAAATAAAAACAACAATTTCTTACCTTGTAAGGTGACGTCTCTATTCTTTCTCCAAATAACACCTGCCCAAGGTTCTCTGAGGGCCTGTTTTCATCCGTATCTTTGCAAAAATCAAACCTAAAGCAAAAATATTCCCTCGCTGGTCAGTCCTTGTATAGAAATGCATGCAGATATAATAATAAAGCTTATATTGTAAAGATCAAGAACACTTACGCATCATATTCATAAGGCAGGACTGATTCCACAGAGTCCAGTCTATTCACAAACAGCTGTATCTCAGTCTGTTGGATTGACAGCAGGGGAGTGGGGTCAAGGGGACAGTTGACTATTAGTCATATCTTTCAGAGATGAACGCTTTTTATTTTGAACATGAATTTGCAATGCAGAGAATTCAGAATTTGCTTATTAACTCAATGCCTAAACATGTATTTTATTTGTTATGTCTCATCTGTCTGTACACGGAAGTATAATAATAAGTACAGGACAGTAAAAGCTCACCTGGCATTCCTCCGCATCTCCTTTCGAGTTTTGCTCGCAAAAACTGACTGGTGCTAAACCCGGAAGGTAGAATCCAAAGCTTGAGCTGACTACCGTTAAACTCAGCAAAAATATAAAACGCGGATTTAAAGGCTTCATTTTTCAAAGCAGCGTCCTGCGAGAATTCCGGTTTACTCTGCTGGAGCAAACCATAAAACTAACCTGTGACAGTCCACACAAAAGATCACCAAGACAACGAGCTCGCAGCTGCTACTGACTCAAGAAAGGTTTGTACTTCCTCACTGTGCACATAACCCCGCCCACCGGTGGCCCCTCCTCCAATTCATCTACAAAACTGGATTAATGACAGTGTTTCGTTTTTAATTTAATTTTTATTAAATTTTATTCTCTTTTTTTGTATGTATGTATTTTCCGAATTACTGCTACATGTGAAACTTTCTATTGATGCTATTGATTCTTTTGATGCTATTTCATGTTCTCCTGAATGTGTTTGTATCATTTTTGTTACTTTAATAAAAATACAACTTTTAATTTTGTAATTAATATATTTAGGCTACTTTATTTTCTGCTTTTGTTTATTTTCCCCCTTTTTTGTTACATATATGTAAAGTTTGTCATAATGCTCATCAATGTTTTCCTGAAGGAAATGGCAGTACTACTAGCCTACCACCAGTCCCACAGGTGAAAATAAACTTTCTTTTTCAATAATAATAATAATAATAATAACTTTAATAAAAATACAACTTTTAATTTTGTAATTAATATATTTAGGCTACTTTATTTTCTGCTTTTGTTTATTTTCCCCCTTTTTTGTTACATATATGTAAAGTTTGTCATAATGCTCATCAATGTTTTCCTGAAGGAAATGGCAGTACTAGCCTACCACCAGTCCCACAGGTGAAAATAAACTTTCTTTTTCAATAATAATAATAATAATAATAAATGCCAGACTTGACTTGATATGGAAACACTCAACTCTGTAGAGTTCTAACTTAAAGTATGATGATATGTCAATTGTCATATATTTAATGGCCAATGGATAGCAAACAAAATACAATTATTATATTATTAGGGAAGTTCCAAATATATAATATACATTTGAAATTTTCTGAGGCGGGTAATATTGTTCGTTTGGTCATATGATCTCATGCCTGAGGCGACCCGCTTCATGCAAACATTTATTTAGCTACAGATAAGACTGGAATCTTAATGCAGTACACAGTTTGAATGCATATTTAAAACTCTATTAATTTCTTTTGTGTACTATTCATTAATGAGTGCAGCTGTGATGTGGCCGGTTTTCGCTATACAGGACTAAAATGAGTACAGTTTGCAAACATGACAGTAGGGGGCGTTAGAGACTTTTAAACCGTTAAGTTCCTCCCTCTGACCATAGAGTAAATGACTGTGCTGGGCGGGTCGAAACCTGTTTTTATACAGTCTATGGTCTAAACACTAACAGACATATAAACCAGCAGGCGCTTTTGTTTCTGTCTGTTGATCCTGAGGTAAGTAAATGGATAATTTAAACAGATTCGCCTATATGTAATAATGGTTTTTGGTTTGTAAGTTAGATGGACGTTTCATCTGGCAATACCTTAGCTCCATAGCCATGTATATTTAGCAGCTGTGATGGTAACTGAAAATGGCCTCGTGTAACGTTAGATGGCAAACGACAAGATGTTTTTCTAAACGCACATTTCAATCGCCATTTTGAATTTGCATGTGGCGTTATTCGCTTATGTACTTTAATCTAAGTATTGTTGTATGGTTAAATGTGTTTATCATGCCTTTGTGAGGTTCTTAATCAAACATGTGTTGTTAGTTAGCCATACGGCCTGAAGAGGGCTCAAGCTGCTGCATCTGCCAGTAGCTTTATGATTTTAAGCGTCCGCCATTTTGTGAGCCATGCTTTAAAATGTCATGCAAACTGGTAAACCGAAACGTTTAGTGTCTTTTGTAACTATAGTTGTGAAGGTTCGTAAGTTAGTCTTTGCACGTGTTCAACAACTGCAGCTAGCCAGGCAGGGCCTAACAGCTCATGGTTGCAGGGTTAACCATCTACTTCAAAGAACGATGAAATTAAACGTGTTTCTGTTACCAAATAGCTTTTCTAACTTCATTAACCGTGCAACAACATGTACTGGCATTTTGCGTTGCTCCTAAGCATGTCATGTTGTTAAAATTGTTTAGTGCTCTGGTCTCCCAACATGGTTCGGTTGGTCTGTTTGCTGGTTTTAGGCACTTTTGAGTTATTCCGGATGAGAGACCAGCTTATGCTGATTTAAGCTGTTAATTACATTTTTCTAAGACGAAAGACACTGGACTATTCTCATGCATAAATGTCTCTCCCCTGCAGTGGCAATAGTGGTAAGCATGGCTGAGGCAGACCTACCAGGGAAGCTCTTCATCGGTGGCCTGAACACTGAAACTAGTGAGAAGGTCCTTGAAGCGTATTTCAGCAAATTTGGCCGAATATCAGAAGGTACTTGTAGTTTTTGTATGATTTGAATTACTTGCTTGTAGAACTGTCTTTCGGTTGTGCAAAAATTAATATAATATTGAAATTTGTTTTAGACGAGAGCTAAAAATGTTATTGAAGCATTTGGTGTAATCGTATGTTTTCCTCCAACTTGTCTTTTGTAGTTCTGTTGAAGAAGGATCGTGAAACAAATAAATCTAGAGGCTTTGCATTTGTAACTTATGAAAATCCTGGTGACGCAAAAGATGCAGCGAGGGAAATGAATGGAAAGGTGAGTAGTAATGGCGTGAACTTCAGATGTGTTAGCTGTGATGAAGATTTGTGGCAGTGATCTGTTTGAACTGATAGTCCACAATTGTCCTCTAAGAAGTTCTGAGCTTACATAATGGTAGGACACATTTACTTGTATCTATTTGTCTGTCTAATTTAAGAGCAGTTTCCTAAATGTCTGTTTCTTGTGTTAAAGCCCCTTGATGGAAAGCCTATTAAAGTGGAACAGGCCACAAAACCTCAGTTTGAGTCTTCAGGACGCCGTGGCCCACCACCAACACGGAGTCGTGGCCCTGCTAGAGGTCCACGAGGGTCCAGGGGAGCACCAAGTGGAATGCGGGGACCACCAAGCAGAGGTACCATTCAGAACTTTATACCCCACCCCCTTTTTTTAATTTGTGCCATGATGACACTATTTTGATGATCTGTTTGAACTGATTGTCCTCTAAGAAGTTCTGAGCCTATGCTTAATATGCATGCTTGCTGCCTAAATATTACCAAGATAACGTAGGTATTGTAGAACCCTTTTTTAAAGGCATGTCATCCAGAGGGCCACCACCACTGAAAAGAGGCCCCCCAGTGCGGAATGGAGGACCCCCACCCAAGAGATCTGCACCCTCTGGGCCAATGGGCAGACGTGAGTTGGGCGAACATGCACAGATTTGTACCGTTAATCATCTGAACCATAAAATCATTTTCTCAATGTGTTTAACAGCGCCAATGTCCAGAGACAGGGACCCATACGGCCCTCCTCGCAGAGATTCTCTGATGTCACGTCGGGATGATGGTCCTCCACCTCGTGATGACCACTACAGTAAAGACGGGTGGGATAAGTAAAAAGCATGAATAATACAGAAATGAAGATGGGAAATCTAAATATTAGATAAAAAAAAAACATGGAAGTATTGCTTTGGTAATTAACTGAAATATTTATTAAGAATTAAGGGGGTAGCTCACCCAAAAATGAAAATGACTCCATGATTTACTCACCCTCAAGCCATCCTAGGTGTACATGTCTCTGTTCTTTCAGATGAATACAATTGGCGTTATATTAAGTGTTCTGGCTCTTCAAAGCTTTATAATGGCAGTGAATGGGTGTTGAGATTTTGAAGTCCAATAAAGTGAATCTATCCATCATAAAAAGGGCTCCATAAAGTCCTTCTGAAGTGAAGTGAAGCAATGGGTTTGTGAAGAAAAATATCCATATTTAAAACTTTATAAGACTGTAATCTCTAGCTTCCACTAACTGTCGTACGCACGTTCACGACAGTGGCCTTCCACTAACTGTCGTACGCACCTTCACGACAGAGTGGCCTTCCAGCAGTTGAAGTAGGCACAGCGTAAGCGCTGGTGAGAATATGCCAGTCTCGTGAGAACCAAGTTTTGTTTACAAAAAAGGAAAACCAGTCTCCTCTTGGCTTATATCGAAATCCGCTAACATTTCTTTACAAATCTTTGTTTCGTACTTCTAATTCCTGACCGCAGAAGCTAGAGATTACAGTTTGAAGTTTTAAATATGGCTGTTTTTCTTACACAAACACATCACTGTGCTTCAGGAGGCATTTATTAACCCCCTGAAGCTGTGTGGAGCACTTTTGATGATGGATGAACGTCTCAACAGCTATTAACTGCCATTATAAAGCTTGGAAGAGCCAGGACATTTTTTTTATATAATTCCAAATGTATTCATTTGAAAGAAGAAATTCTTATACACCTAGGAAGGCATGAGGATGATTAAATTGTGATTTTCATTTTTGGGTGAACTATCCCTTTAAAGCTGAAATATCAAACTAATAAAATTACAAAAACTTAGTTTAAATTAAAATTATAAATGCTAACTCAAAAGTAATGAACACTATGCAGTAGGGCTGGGCCAGAATATTTGAATATTCGTTTGGTGGGTTGGCATTAGATTTTCAATTTTGAGATTCTAATATATTTTAATTTTTTTCAAACCTGGCATCCCCCGTGAAACTGTTCTCATTCGTGCTTGAATATGAATCGCCCATGAGTGAACGTCATGATTCAGTTAATCTTGAAGAGAAGACAAAAGTGCCGAAGACCTCAGCTGTGTGGGAGCACTTTAAATTGGGTGAGGACAAGACAAAGGCAGTAGAGCCCTGCACGGACCTCTAATTTAGGCCCTGGCCCGAGACGTTCAGGCCCTGGCCCTTGTCCGAAAGCTTATCAGAATTACCGGCCTGAGCCTTACCCAAGCTAGTCTTTTTTTTTTTTTTTTCCCCCTTCTCCCAAAACAGCTTCTAATACTCTTTAAGCTATTAAAATAGTTCAGTTTTGTATGTAATGGCAAAATGATTATATTTCATTTCTTTTTTTTTTTTATTAAGTTAATTGAGAATAACATTTGGAGCATTTTTCGTTCGTTAAATATAAGTTTTTGTTTTTTAAAGTAACTACCAAGCGGGCAGCGGCAGACAGTGAGCTGATCGCCTATGTTTGATTCATTTAGCCTTCTCAAATCATCACGACTTGCCTAAAATAAAA